GTACTTCCTTATTTAATAGTACCACCACTTATTAGAAATACAAACTCAGTGGGCCTTAGCCAGTCAATCCTTGTCCCTCCATCGTGAGCTCCCACCTAGCCTCCTACCCATTCCCCAGCATGGTCTGCTTTTCCCTCTTTCCCCCACATTCTCCCCACCCTCCATTCACTGAGGAAGGACAGTGACAGAGATCAGAGGAAAGGTGGGGAACAGTCCAACATGGAGAAAAGCAGCTCTATCCCCACATAAGTAAGCATAGTTTGGAGCCTTCCAAGTGCTGGAATCAAATGGGACTCACACTGGTCATAGCAGGCAAAGAAGGCCAGTACCACCTCCCTAACACCATCATGATTTTAGAGGAGGCCTATCTTTCCCATCACCACCTCAAAAAAAAAGCTAGAAACCACTCTCTAGGAAAGATGCACTTCCACCTTGAGAGAGTTTAAGAGTCTTATATATTGTCATAGACAATATGCAGATAGTACATAAGTCAGGAAAGTCTGTGTTGGAAATGCCCAGTGCAGAGTCCCTTCACCATATGTCTTATATGCCTGCATCTGTGTGTTGTACATGGTAAAGGGGAAAAGGGGCATAACTGCATAGAAGAACCTACCAAACTTGAACTTCACTGAATTTCCTCATCTCCTGTGATCTTCACTTCCTTGCCACTTACCCTGCCCCACCATGGACTCTTTAATAATCCAGAATTGCAAGGATTCTCCCCAAATTCAAACTTCAACTATGACTTCAGCCRTCTACCCCCACAACCCTCTCTCTCTTACTCCATTAGACTAGTGCTACTGAAAATGTAGCCCTGCATTGGTCTGAAAAGTGTTACAATGAGACCTGGGCAAAAACTCAGAATAGCATTCAGAAACTTTTATAGCAATCTGACTTTCCTGCAACAGCCAAGTGCATGATCAGCAGAATTGTACAGACCAGATCAGGTATTAAAGAATTCACACAAGAAGTGCAGTATGTGGGCTGGGGTTGTGGCTCAGTGATAGAGCACTTGCCTTGCATGTGTGAGGTACTGAGTTTGATTCTCAGCACCACATATAAATAAATGAATAAAATAAAGGTCCATCAACAACTACAAAATAAATTAAAAAAAAAAAAAACATGTGACAGTAGTTGCCTGCTAGAGACATATAGCAGGATTTTAGAGGAGGCCTGTCTTTCCCATCACCACCTCAAAAAAAAAAAAAAAAAAAAAAAAAAAGCTAGAAACCACTCTCTGGGAAAGATGGACTTCCACCTTGAGAGAATTTAAGAGTCTTATATATTGTCATAGACAATGTGCAGATAGTACATAAGTCAGGAAAGTCTGTGTTGGTCAATGTAAATTGAGAACATGCATTAAATGGCCCTTCTACCACTCCTAGCTTCAACCTTGAAGCTGGTGTTTCTTACTCCTCCCAATCCAGGAAAAGCAACCCCTCTCCAAGAGAAATACTTCTGAATCCAGACTTTTATGTCCTTCCCAACCTAAATCACCAGAGAGCACCTCCATGAATGTTCACACCATTTATTTCAATCTAGAATGAATCCCCTTCTAATTCAGGCTGTTGCTCTTCAGAATGGGAAAGGGTCCTTTCTCTGGGATCATGGAAACAAAATTCCCTTCAAAGAAGATCCATGCCTTTCCCTGTTATAATAGAACATAACAAACACACAGTTATTATTATTATTATTTTACCAAATATTTATTGAGAGACAATTGTTGCCAGTGATGTCAATCATTTGCAGTTGTGGTCCTTGCCCACATGGAGTTCTCAATTCAAAAGGAAACATTGGATGGACCTTACAAGGAAGTTGAAGGTTATTTATGAACATAAAGGAGAGGTACAGGAAGCCATGAAAGAGTGTAAACYTCACTGAAGATGTAACACATGGTGCAGCTTGGCATTGTGTGGAGGTAGGCAGATGGGAGTGGTGTAATGGAGAGGTCCCTGGAGGAGGTAGAGTTTCCCTTCAAAATGGAAAGCAGAAGCACAGCTTCTGTGATTCTAACATTTTTTCTTAGCCTGGATGTGTTAGTCAACTTTCTGTTGCTATGACAAAATACCTGAGATAATCACTTATAAGGAGGGAAGATTTATTTTGGCTCACACTTTCAGAGGTTTTAGTCCAAGGTCACTTGGCTCCATTATTCTGGGCTTATAATGAGGCAGAACCTCATGACAGAGAGCATGGGTGGAGCAAAACTGCTCATCTCATGGCAGCCAGAAAGCAAAAGTTGGGGGGGTTAGGGTCCCTTTGTAAACTTTAAGGACATACCCCCAATCTACTTCCTCCAATTAGGTCCCACCTCCTAAAGTCTCACCGCCTCCCAAGAGCACCATCAGCCAAGGACAAAGGTTTCAGCACATCATTATCACATTCAGAAATAAAAATAGTACAGAGTTGTGCCTCCTTATGGCCATATCAGATCCTTTTGGTACTTCCCTATGCCTCTGAAGCTGTTATTCTGGAACTTATACCCCAAAAAGAAACACCACTCCTAAGGAAGCTCAATATRGGTCAGACATTATCATGAGATTTGCTAAATCATAAACTCAGGGATGAGGATGTGGCTCAGTGGTAGAGTGTTCACCTGTCATATGCAAGGGCCTGGGTTCAATCCCCAGCATCAAAACAAACACAACACCTAGGCATGATGGTACATACCTATAATCCCAAGTCTTGGGAGGCTGAGGAGGATCACCAGGTACAAGGCCAGCCAGGGCATCTTAGTGAGATGCCCTGTCTCATAAAAGAGCTGAGGACGTATCTCAGTAGTTGAATAACCCTGGGTTCAATCCCCAGTACTAGAAAGGAAGGGACGGAGGGAGGAAAGCAAGCATACAGTAAAATAAGGTCTTTTGCCCCCCCCCCAAAAAAAAGTAAGTTGGTCTCTATTCTTTGGACAAGTGCCTTGAACCTTCAAGTCTTCAGGTTTCTGCCATGAAATAATCTCTTCTTATTGTTAGATCATATTCCATGGCATGGCGCCCATCCTTCAYAGGGTCTGGCACATGGAGAATGGATCAGTAAACACATGCACATGTGAGTGGATTTCTGTGAAGCTGTATCCCTGTCCTCAACCTTATTTTCATTAACCTGGTCCTACAGAAGGACTACTCCAAATGCAGCAGCCCCAAATCTACAGGATGCTTATGAAAAATACAAACAGTTTTCATGATGACTCAGAATGATTGCTGCCATGCAAACCCAGACCTACTTAGCTCTACAGCCCACTGGGGGGTATGAGCACCTGACAGGGCTTGGATGGGTCCAAAAACACAAGTCCTCTTTTCAGTTGATAAAGGTAAATGATAACTAACTTGATTAGCTTTTCTTTTTAGGTTCAACAACTACAACTACTTAACTAATTCTAAATGAAAGTCATTAAAATTTAGCATTTGGAAACTAAAACTGGCATATCGAGCTTACTAAAAGCTCAACTTCAGTGTTCACCAGGAAGCTTGGCTACCCTGGACCCCTGGTAACCTGGAAAAGCCCTGCTGGAATTCCCATCACTTTTAAGACAGTGGCTTTGTTCGCAGTGAATTATCAGCCTTATGAGGAGTTGATCATGCTGCTAGTCTTTTTGGGTTGTTGTTTTTTTAACAAGTTACCTTTACTTTAGCTCTAACATTATCAATTTGGTTTGTTTGGGCTGTGGGTTAACCTTCCAATGCATAGAACAGCATTAAAAAGTATTTTTGGCCTATAATTTTCCAGTGAGTGAGACTTCAAGATCTGCATGGTAGCTTAAATATTCTTATTGTAACTGCAGATGTATACACAACCCACTCTACATTTGTTTGTGCTGTGATATTTCATTTGGCATATGCTGTGTATAAACTAATGCTATTTAAATTACTTGCAATATAAACGTGATACATGTAAAAATAGCTTTACACTTATAGGACATTGTTTTATAATACAAATTCTTGTATGCAAACTCTGCAACATTTGCCTTTCATTTATCTACAGATCATTAACTGAGTTTTGTTTCCTAGTTGAAAGCGGTGAAGACAGATGGGCCCAGAGTTTTTGCACGTGCCAGTCACAGTATCTCAAACTTCCCCATTCAGAAAAAAAAAAAAAAAAAAAACCTTTGCCAATATCTGTAACATTTTCTAGAACAAATTCTGCTCCATTGCTCGTACTACAACTGCAAAATGACATCAACTCCACCAGGTTTTCCCAGAACCAGTGAAAGTTCCACACAAGGGTACTCTGCCCACAGTCCTGCCACACAAATGCCCCCAGCATTTTCCAGCTCCTTTCTCATCCCAAAATCAAAAATCTTGGCCCCAAAATGAGCTGAAGTCTAAGGCATCAATCACTCTTTGACTCCCACTCCCACCCAGTGCCCCTGCAGAAAAAGCTCATCTTGGCTTCAGACCTGGGAAGGGGAGTACCTGTGAGGTGGGCAGATTTTTCTCTGGTCCTTTTTCATGATACTCCAGGAGTCAAAATCCTTCCTGAGATTTTCAGAAGAGGGACATAACCCAACTGAACCACCTGCAGGGATCCAGTTTCCATCGGAAAGAGAATTTGAGTATGGGGGATCCAGAGTAGAATCAAGTCTTTATTCAGAACAAAGAATGGAAAGATGTCCCCGCCCCAGAGGGAGGGTTTGGGTTTCCAAGTCACTTAAGCTAGCACCAGGTCTCAGCCCACCCCAACCATTTCCATCCAAGGCAGGCAGTGGGGGGCCACAGATTTAACCAGTGAGCCCTGGCCACCTGATAGCTCCTCTTGCTGTTCCCTGAAAGGACCTTCCCACGGGCATTCTGTACCTGCAGGTCATGTTCTGTCTGGGAATTGCCGGTGGTGGCTAGAGGTGAGCATGGGTGCTAGTGTGCTGAGAGTACAGCAGATCCAATATCCACAGAGCTCTGAAGCCGTGGCCAAGGGGCTGAGTCTGTTCCCAGGTCTGCTCCAAGCCTTCCAGAGTAGGTGCATCTCCCTGGCTGCATAGGGATAGACATGGGTTTGCTGCAAAATGAAYGACAGCAGGCGGACAATGAGCTGAGGCTTCATTCTATCAGCAGCTTCAGCTGAGAGCACCTATGTCACAATCCGCGCTGCCCATGGGTTCCCCTGGGTCTGTTTAACATGTGCACTTGTAGAGGAATCAGCATCGAGTAACCAAGCACCAAGTCAGAAGTTCCAATCCCCACCTTGCCCCAACCTCAGCGTGCCTTCAAGCACTGCAGGCCTCAGCTTTCCCATCTGTAAAACAAGAGAAGTACACAAGATAGATTCAAAGACTCTTTGTGGCCCTGAACCCATATTCTTTTGAGTGTGTTCATTCTCAGGTCCCAAAAATCCTTGTGCTACATGAGAACTCCTCTCTAGGAGCCCATGTAACTGTCTGCATCTTGAAGCACATGTGTGAGGCATCATGTGGGCCACACTTGTGTGTGTGTGCTGGGAGGAGGGGAGACCCCAGAACAATGCCATCCCTCCAAAGCTCCTCAATAGGCGGAAGCCACTGACTTCCTCTATTTCCTGCCTCCTGTATGCCAGCAAGACTGTGGACTGAAGGCAGAGAAGGGATAGAAAATTCGCCCAAACATTCCCAGGTCTCTCTCTACCATAACCCTCCCTGACCTCCACCTAAATAGCTCCCCTTCCAGGGCCTTCCAGGCCACACCCATCCCCAGCTTTGTGGTGGCCAGACTGGGTGATCTAGAGACTGAGAAGCAGGATACATCCTCCCATCCTCTCCCCTGCCACCCCTCCCACCAGAGCCACCTCATTTCCTCTTCCTTCCCAACACTGGGGCCTACTGACCGGCACAGGCGGAGTACTCAGACCCACAACTGACCCCAGGCCCAGCTTGTCCTGGCTGGCCTGGGTCAGCCTCTGGAGTATGGTCTGGCTGGAGCCCCCTTTCCTGCTCCCTGTTCTCTTCCTGGCTTCTCATGTTGGTAAGTCTTCCACGAGTCCCCCATCCCATTACTAGGCCCCAAGGTCCTGATTTTCCCCCAAAGAAATCCTATCATGTCATAGAAACAGACAGGAGAATAATGGCTGCCGTGGGCTGGGGAAGGGGAATGGGAATTATTGTTTAATGGGTATAGAGTTTATGATTTACAAAATGAAAAGAGTTATGGAAATGGCTAGTGGTAAAGTTTGTACAACATTACAAATGTATTTAATAACACTCAAGTGTATGCTCCCAAATGGTTAAGATGGTAAATTCTAGGTTATATGTATTTTGCCACATTAAAAAAAAATTGGGGGAAAAAAAGAAACTCTATCATCACTGTCATGATTTTGACCCWCCAGAAAGCAAAGATCAGGGTCAGGAAAACTTAGGCAGATACTAGAAATCACTGCATGCTGGGACTGGGGAGGGAAGGAGAACATCCATTGACTGTTGGATCTCAGGATCTGTGGGAGCAACAGGGCCTATAGACTCACTGATGTTTTCAGTGGATGCTTATAGAGTCAGTGTATTGGGCTCATTCCGGTAATCACTGGACAATATTCCATCAGTTTYGAGGCTGGCAACCTCCAGACCTATACAATGAGACTCAACAATGCTGACCTCCTATGKCTGTTATGGGGTTTAAATGAGATGATGTACATAGCCTGCTTGGCACAAAGCCTGGCACTTGGTAAGGATTTCTAAGTAAGCTTAGTCCTTCAGTCTCCTGGTAGGAGGATTAGAACACAGAAGCTGCCTTTGAGTGGCTCGTGGTATAGTGAGGAACATAGCACATGGGATGAGCTAATCAGAGAYAGGCATGAGGAGCTCTAGGGGAGCACTGAGGAGGAGTCAGAGTAATGGACAAGAACAGAGTCAGGAAAGATTTCACTAAGAAAGTTGGCAGTCAGAAGAATCAATGCAAGTCTCAGAAGCATGGAATAGCACAGGAGAAAAGGGTCCTAATAGGGAAAGCAGACAGAGAGGCAGAGTGTGTATAGCAAGGGGCTCAGGAGCGTGCACACTGTCCTACAGGAAATGGGAAGCCATGGAAGTTACAAGCAAGAGCGTTACAAGGGGCTAGTGGTGATATCTCAGTGGTAGAACACTTGCTTAGCATTCATGAGGCTCTGGTTTTGATCTCCAGCATGGAGAGGGGAATATCTCACAGAGAGAGAAAGAGAAAGAAAGAGGAGGCGGGGAGGTAGATGTGGTTTCTTRGAATGTTCCAGGTCACTAGGGATAAGAGCTGAACAAAGGTTTTTGGGAGACTGGGATAAAGTCAGGAAGCTTTTAGGAAGCAATTTGCAGAATTTTGTGATTAGTTGGGGTAGTTGGCACAAAGCTTAATGGTGTGGATTTTAAAATCAAACAAYCTAGCGCTTCTCATTACTAATTGTGTGACCTTGGGCAAGTTATTTAACTTCTCAGAGTCTTTTCCCTGCCTATAAAACWGGGGTAATAACACCCACCTCCCAGGACAGTCAGGATGATAAAATGAGAGAACATCAGTAGAGTGGCTGGTATAGTGTCCTGAATATAATTGACATCCAATAAACATTAATTGTTATGGCAGTGGGAGGACGAGATGACGCCATAGTTACTGCCTCAGCTGGCAGGTGCTGTCTGCTGAGTCAGGGAGCAGGAGAGAGGAGCAGGTTTGGGAAGGCTGACGGAAATGAAGCGCTGAGCTGAAAGGCCATCCCAGAGTTATTGACTCAGAGGTGATAGTTAAAGGGAGCTTGCTCAAAGAAGCCTCTATAAAAATTATTATTGCCTCCTTTGTAAGTGGAAAGAATATCAACTTCACTGGAGGCTTCCAGGATAAATAGCAAAAGGGTGCTTGATACCTGGTGCATGGTCAGTRAATGCCAGCTTTGTTTACTCATATCAAGCTTTCAAAGAACATTAAATGATAAGCTAAGTGGCATTTAAGCTAATTTAATTAATTAATTTAATTAATTAATCATGGAACTGAGGCAGGCAAGCGGGCTCTCCTGGATCTGGTCTGGACTCTGGCTCTATCTGGTCTCTGCCCACATGTGACCACATGTTTTATGCTCTTGTCACACCAAACTTGGACAGCCCCATTCCCCACACCATAACATTTTTTCCTTCCATGTCTTTCCGTAGCTTTTCCCCCTATCTAGAATGCCCATTTCCCTCCCTCCCCATTCTCCTCACCCGTTGTGATCTGCTTGAGCTTTGAAAGTCCTCAAGTTGTATCTCCCAGGAAGCACCTCCCCACCCTCCTGCCACCCCCAGGCTGGGTTAGGTGCCCCTCCCTCTGCTCCCTCTCACAGAACCCTGCATCTGACAGCTATGTCCCTGTCTGCCTCTCCAACCAGACAGTAAACTATTTGGAAAGCAAACACCAAGACCCACCTGTGTCTGCATCCATCTAGGCCCCAGGCCTGTGCTGGACCTGCCCTCTGTCTCTAAGCCAGGCAGAACTGGCTTCATTTCTGCTACACACCCAAATTAAATCCCAACACATCAAATATTTCATGATTTCTGTGGTAACAAGGAGGGGGGCCCTAAAGGATGCTTTTGGTCTGGATGGGGGCAGAGAGAAGTGACTTGAGGCAACCTTGATGAACCAGCTTTGGAGAGGAACTGGGAAAGGGGCCTGACGGAGAATAAAGTGAGGAGTTGAGACAGGGAGCAGAGATCATTACTTCTGACAGCTGGGCTGTGATGGAAAGCCATGTGGCAGGAGAAGGCGGGGAATGTCCAGCCAGAGAAGGGTTTGTGTTTTTGTTTTTGTTCTTTTAGGATGAAGAGACTTGAGGGCAAAGGACCAGTGCACATGGAAGGGGAAAGGAGGGGGATGGAAGTACCTGATAAAATGAAGTGCCTGTAGGCTCTGCGGGTCCCAAAGGGGAAGGAAAGAGGGTGGGAAGAGGGGACCCTCTTCAGAGGGTGCGTAGAACAGTAAGATAAGAGGACTGGGATAGGGGGTTCTGGGGTACAAGGAAGGGTTCACTGGGGCTATGATGGAGTCACTGCTGTCCTGGCCCAGGCGCGGCTGTGGACCTGACGCTGCTGGCCAACCTGCGCCTCACCGACCCTCAGCGTTTCTTCCTGACCTGCGTGTCCGGGGAGGCTGGGGCGGGGAGGGGCTCGGATGCCTGGGACCCGCCCCTGCTGCTGGAGAAGGACGACCGCATCGTGCGCACCCTTCCACCCGGACAGCCTCTGCACCTGGCCCGCAATGGCTCACACCAGGTCACGCTTCGAGGCTTCTCCAAGCCCTCAGACCTCGTGGGTGTCTTCTCCTGCGTGGGTGGTGCTGGGTCGCGGCGCACTCGTGTCATCTATGTGCACAACAGCCCAGGGGGTGAGTTCTGGCCTTGAGGGGGGTGGGTGGGCACTGTCCTGGATCACTGACCCCACTCTCCCTCCACTCCACAGCCCATCTGTTCCCAGACAAGGTCACACATACAGTGAACAAGGGTGACACTGTGGTGCTTTCTGCACGTGTGCACAAGGAGAAGCAGACTGATGTGATCTGGAAGAGCAATGGTGAGAGGGGCATTTGGTTGGGCAGATGGACCCACAATTCTGATGCCCCAGCACCTCCATCCTCAGAATTCTCAGTTTGGGCCCCATCACCCTGATACACCTGTTGTCCCCGTGGCCACCCTTCAGGGCTACTCCTTGACCTGAACACACTTGAATTCATCTCCATTCTAGCTCTGGGCCCCCTCTTACTATACTCAGAGGATCAGGAGCCAGTGGCCAGCTACCCTTTAAGCACTATGTTAAGTATTCATCCTTAACTGGGAACTGGCAGATGTGTCACCTGGAAAGAGCAGCTGTCCCCAACTGGAAGAAGAGAACTGGGAACAATGTGTCCAACACAGGACCAAGAAAGTCCAGCCTTTATCAAAGTCCTGTCCAGCCCAAATGTCCACAAGAGCCATCCAGGCACACCTGTGAATCTCAGCCCCAGGTCTGCCCTCCATCCTGATCCTTTCTGTCTTTTGGCTACCCCATAGGAGAACACTGTTTTCCTATATGGCTCCAAAGATTCCTGCCTCAGCCCTCAGATACACAATCCTTTGAATGACTCTTGCATCTCTGGGATCCTTCCTGGGCCCAGGGTTCTGTACCCTGAGCTCCAGGCCATCTGAACTGACAGGAGATGCAGGAGGAGGCAGGGAGACTTATAGACATAGAGTATAGAGTCTCTATGCTGAGAGGCAAGAGTGAGACCCAAAGTAGATGGAAAGTGTACCCAAAAGAAGTGGGAAGAAGCAGGAGCCAGACAAAGATGAAGGGAGAGCATTCCAGGAGGCTGGACTGACAAGAGCAAAGGCTGGACCTTCTGAAATACCAGATGTTTCCAGAAGGGAAACAAACAATTCAGGAATGTTCGGAGTCCGGCAGGGCAGGGCAGGGAGTGGGGAGGTTTAGAGCTAGAGGGCTCAGCAGGAGCCAAACTGGTGAAAACAAACTGGTGAAGTGAAGAATCTGTTGTAGAAGAATCTCACTGGCTGCTAAATGAAGTGGAGGATGGTGGGAAGAGCCAGGCTGGAGGCAGAGAACCTGCATAGGAAACTTCACAGATGAGGAGGAGATGGACTGAACCGGACTTAGTGATTTACTGGGTGGTTGGTGCTAGGGCACAGTGATGTGACCTGGGCAAAGGGAGATGACACTAGCCCATATATGACGGTGTTGAGACCCTGATCCCTTCATGCCGCCCCCAGGATCCTACTTCAATATCTTGGACCGGCAGGAGGCCCGGGATGGACGGTTCTCGGTGCAGCTTTCAAATGTGCAGCCACCATCAAGCGGCATCTACAGTGCTACCTACCTTGAAGCCAGCCCCCTGGGCAGTGCCTTCTTTCGGCTCATTGTGCGGGGTCAGGAGCAAAGGGCAGGGGTTATGGGTGTTATGGGAGCCTGAAAGCTCTATACTTCCCGTAGGTCTTAGAGATTCCCAAAGTCCCTGAAGCTTCCCCAGTCCTCAGTGGCCATGGGTAGGTGAGTGAAGGTTAGTTACTGAAGACACTTTCCTCCAGGCTGTGAGGCTGGCCGCTGGGGGCCAGGCTGTGCCAAGGAATGCCCAGGCTGCCTACATGGAGGTGTCTGCCACGACCATGACGGCGAATGTGTTTGTCCCCCTGGATTCACTGGTACCCGCTGTGAGCAGGGTAAGGAGGAGGGGCGCTAAGACCCAGACAAGAGAGGATACCTGACTGGAGTAAGACTCAGAACCTGGAGGGTGAGGGTACTGATTCAGTCCTGGACTCTGCACCCAACAGAGACCCATATGCCACATATCTTCTTTCTAGCCTGCAGAGAGGGCCGTTTTGGACAGAGCTGCCAGGAGCAGTGCCCAAGCCCATCAGGCTGCCGGGGTCTCACTTTCTGCCTCCCAGACCCCTATGGCTGTTCTTGTGGATCTGGATGGAAAGGAAGCCAGTGCCAGGAAGGTATGAACTAACCTACCCTCCACAGCCACAGGCTTGGCCTGGACCCTTCACTCTGACCCTGACTTACACACCAAGCCCTCTACAGTCCCCTGACCTGTGCCCCCTCTACATTCAGCCTGTTGTACAACACATGCCCCATCTGTGCCCTCGTGGCCCCCAACCAAGCCTCCTAACTATACTTACTTTGTTCCCAGCCTGTGCCCCTGGTCATTTTGGGGCTGACTGCCGCCTCCAGTGCCAGTGTCAGAATGGTGGCACATGTGACCGGTTCAGCGGCTGCGTCTGTCCCTCTGGGTGGCATGGAGTCCACTGTGAGAAGTCAGGTATGAGCATTAGAGACTCGTCAAGACAAGTCAGCCCCCACTGAACATGTCTGCACAGAGGAGCCTTGCCCTTCCTTTCTCTGCTAACAGCCCAAGGGACCGCATAGTCTGGCAGGAGTTCTCACCATTCAGCGGCCCATAAATTGAAGGGTGACAGCCCAGAGGGCACTGGAGCCCACAGGAGGCTCCTGGCCTGCATGAGAGAGAGAGAAAGTTGGGGAAGGCTTCTGGGAAGAGGTGAGATCTGAGATTAGATAGGGAGGACAGAGGAGAGATGACAGGGAAGGAGTGTGGAGAAAGCCTGAGGGTTGGAACTCAGGCTTGCATATCAGGACAATGAGGTAAGGGGCAGGGAGAATGTCCAAAGGGGTCAAATCATGGGGCCTCTGAATATCAGGTCAAAGGTTTGCACTTGGTATGATAGGGGTAAGGGAGACTTGTTGAAGGGGCCTGAGGCAGTCGGACTCTTTTCAGAAAGGACCTCTTGCTGCTGGGTAGAGTGCGGAAGCTGGAGACTCCAAGGAGTCTGTGGTTGGGGACCAGAAACCAATGAGGCCCAAACAGTGTGCTGGCTGTGAGGATAGTGAGGGGCCTGTCCATGGATAATGGAGGAATGAGGAAGAGTGCTGTAGAGACGGGGAGGAGGAGGTAGACCCTGTGGCTAATCAGATATGGGGCACGAGGACCCTGGAGGAGTCATATAGGACTTTGCTGGCCTTCAAATTTGAGTGAGATGGTGGTGTCTCTACTGAGATGCAGAGCAAGGGACAAGGGGCACTTTCATGATTATGGTCACATGTTTGCCCCATGGGAGTCCCAGCACTATTCTTCTCTCTCCCCAGACCAGATCCCCCAGATCCTCAATGTGGCCTCAGAACTGGAGTTCAACTTAGAGACGATGCCCCGGATCAACTGCGCAGCCTCAGGGAACCCCTTCCCAGTAAGAGGCAGCATGGAGCTTCGCAAACCAGATGGCACTGTACTCCTGGTCAGTCCCAGTGACCCTAACCCTTTGTCCCCTGTCCTTCCACTTTCCTAGTTGATTCCTCAGAACCCCATCCCCTCAGAACTTTCTGCAAACTCTACCCACTAGCCTGGGCATGGCTCTAATAGGGTCAGGCTGATTGGTGAGGGGCTGCTACTGGGCCCCTCTCCCATCAATAGTCCAAACATATTTGCATATATGCCTCCTAGGTGCACAATCTCTGTGGTCTGTCCCCTCTCTTTGTCTATCTTAGTCCACCAAAGCCATTGTGGAGCCAGATAGGACCACAGCTGAGTTCGAGGTACCCCACTTGGCCCTTGGGGACAGTGGGTTCTGGGAGTGTCGTGTGTACACATCTGGTGGTCAAGACAGCCGGCGCTTTAAGGTCAATGTCAAAGGTCAGTAATGTCTTAGGGCCATGGAGGATGGACAGTGGGCAGATATCTACCTAATGCTCAGACTGGGGATCCCAGCAGAAAGGGCAAGGGCATCCAATCTGTCAGGCCAGCATCAGGCAAAGAGGGTTTGTGGTCAGCCAAAGGTCTGGGCTGGGCAGTGTCAAGGCTGGAGCACAGCTTGGTCCCATCTGGAAAGGACATTCCACACCCCAGAAATGGGGGATGCCCTCCAATCTCTCCCTACCTCCTGCTTAGCCATGCCTCCCCACCCCCACCACCACACACACTGTGCCTTTGACTCTGCCTCTAGGACACTGCTCCCTGTGTCTGAGTCTCCCTGCATAGGCACTCAGTGCTGGGACTGGGGAGCACAGGATCTATGGAACTCAAGGGTGATCTGCTTGGCTCCCCAGAGGGGATAACTGCATAGAAGTCTGCCAGGTGAACAAGGGGCTAACTCCCAGCATTCAGGAGTGCTCAGAGAAGAGGCCCCCTCCCCAAATTAGGTATCCCTGTACCTTCTCGGCACCATATCATGGGCAGGTCACACTCCTGGGCCCTGCCACCCCCAGACCCCACCACTTTCCCTCTAACCTCCTTCTCTACATGAGCTCTCTCTCACCTTCTTCTTTTTCACTGTCACACTCTGCTTCCAGGTTCCTCACCATGTCCTCTCATCACCCCCTCCTCCACAAGGCTCCACCTTCAGCCTTTCTCTTCTCAGTCTTCCCAAGTCTTCAGACCCAGAGCCCTGGGTTCAAATCCTCTCTATGTAAGTCCCAAGTTCTGCTGGTTACAGTGGCTCACATTTGTAATCACAGCTACTAGAGAAGTTGAGGCAAGAGGATCATAAGTTCAAGGCCAGCCTGGGCAACTTAGTGAGACACTGTCTCAATAATAATAATAATAATAATAATAATAATAGGGGCTAGGGATATAGCTCAGTGGTAGAGTGCTCCTAGGTTCAATCCCCAGTACTAAATAAAATAAATAATTTAAAACATTCCTAGTCCCATTACCTTAAGCAAGTAACTTAACCACTCTTAGTTTGTCTGCGTGTGAAATGAGGACATTAGCACACACCCGATAGGGTTGTTACAAAGATTAAACTAGAGGCTTATGTTGTAGCTCACTAGTTGAGCACTTGCCTCACATGCATGAGGCACTGGGTTCGATCCTCAGCACCACATAAGAATAAATAAATAAAATAAAGATCTTTTTTTTTAAAAAAAGATTAAACTAGATGATGCTTTAAGCAGTTCATACAGAATATGTGTTCAGTATATGTTGACAATTGATATTTTTAAAATGACATCTAGTCCCAAAAGTGTCAACCCTTGTCTGGTAATGCCCTCATGTGATCTGTAGTCAGATCCTTCTGGCCCCAGACTTATTGGTAGGACCTCCATGAAGTGAGGCATCTTCTGTGAGGTCTGGTTCTGAAACTGGTGTGAAAGTTAACTGGTGAATGATTCAAGGGCCTGTTTTATATCCAGCCTGCATGTCTGATCCTCTGTATAAGCTGCAGACACCAGCAGGGGCTCCTCAGTATCCAAGCTGGACCTCTTCTCCTCACAAACCTGCATCTCCTGCTGATGTGCTCGTTGCTATCGGATGCTCCTTCAGCTCACAACCCTGCATCTTCCCTGAGCAGTCTTCCTTCCTTTCCTTCCCTCCTCCCTCTTTCCCTCCCTCTCTTCCAAGTCACATCTAGTAAATATTCGGAAGAAGCAGGGGAACCTCTTAAGGCATATAATGCAATAAACTGGAGAGAAAAGCTGAGGCCAGAATAGGGGCAGTGACCACAGAGTAAGGAAGCTGGGCAAGAACATAAAAGCTATTTCAGGGTAGAATCCATTGACTTGAAGTGACCTGGTCAGACACACTTAGTTCAAACCCTCTCCTCCTATCTGTGAGTCTTTAGGCAAGTTATTCAATGTCCGAGCCCCAGTTTCTTCATTCATGACTCAGGGGTAATGAGCTCCATCTGAAAGGTAGTTGTGAGAATTAAAGGTCATGCATATGAAGCATCAAGGGTGGAGCAGGGACTTCATCACTGGCACCTTGCTTTAATTAAGAGAGTGGTGAAAAGAGAGAGAATAGTGAACAATGAGGGGAGGGGCAGAGAAGAGACGACACCCAGGCTGTCTCCCCGCCTTGTGTTCCAGCCCCTTTTGTCTACATTACACTTCAGGACAAGGTGCTCTTCCCCAGCCCAGCTGACCATGTCATTCCCTTGCTTCACATCTTTTGAGATACCAATGTCCTTGTCATTGAATCCTTGTATCTTAAGCCACCCAAGGACCAGAACTGTGTCCACTTGGGCCCTGGCCACTCTGATCTTCTATTGAACTTGGTCTACTTGCACCCAGTCCAGAGGGTCCCCAGATCCAAATAAAGATGCAAAGCACAGTGTTCCCCTTTTTCTGAGGACAGGATAGGCCCTATGGGCAGTGCCTTACCCCTAGTCTCCTGGCAGTGCCCCCAGTGCCCCTGACTGCACCTCGGCTCCTGGCCAAGCAGAGCCGCCAGCTCGTGATCTCCCCATTGGTCTCATATTCTGGGGATGGACCCATCTCCTCTGTCCGCCTGTACTACCGGCCCCAGGACAGCACCATGCGCTGGTCCACCATTGTGGGTGAGTGGGGAGAGAGCTGGGGGAAGGACAGGGGTGTTGGGTAATAGTGAGGGGATGAGGTGAGAATGGAAAGGGAAGGAAGGTTGTATAATAGGGGGGAATAAAGGGAGCAGGTGGATTTTGGAATGGTTGGCATTAAATGATATGTGTGCCATACCCACCCTCAGTGGACCCCAGTGAGAATGTGACATTAATGAATCTGAAGCCGAAGACAAGATACAGTGTCCGTGTGCAGCTGAGCCGTCCAGGGGAAGGGGGAGAGGGGACCTGGGGACCTACCACTCTCATGACCACAGACTGTCCTGGTGAGAGGCCAAGAGTCATCCCTTCCTGCCCTGCCCTAGGATTACTGACCTGTCCATTCAGGTTGTCATATTTTATCCATCCAGGGGCCCCTGACTTTCCCATTGGAGGTTCTTACCTGTTCACTAGGGATCATTGTCCCACCCAGCCCTGAAGACCCATTGGACAGTTCTGACCCCTGACCTTTGGCCCCAGAGCCCTTGTTGCAGCCATGGCTGGAGGGCTGGCATGTGGAAGGCCCTGACCGGCTTCGAGTGAGCTGGTCCTTACCCTCGGTGCCTGGGCCGCTGGTGGGTGATGGTTTCCTGCTGCGCCTATGGGACGGGGCACGGGGACAGGAGCGGCGGGAGAATGTCTCATCCCCCCAGGCCCGCACTGCCCTCCTGACTGGACTCACGCCTGGCACCCACTACCAGCTGAATGTGCGGCTCTATCACTGCACCCTCCTAGGTCCTGCATCGCCCCCTGCACACGTGCTGCTGCCTCTCAGTGGTATGCCTGGAATGGGTGATGAGTGGGGGATGAAGAGAGTACAGGGCACGTGGGGATACGTGAGACACAAGAGACACAGAAGAGGACATAGAGATAGCACAGGACACATTCGGGAACCAGGGAGGACATGGGACATGGGGAAGGTAGAGGCTACCAGAACAAAGGTCACCATGAGTATGTGGACAGAGGAGTTCATGGTTCGTGTGGAAAATAAGGATCATTGGAGGACATGAAACTTGGAGAACCATAAGGTATGGGGGACATAGGGAGGACTTGTACTACATGGAAAAAACAGGGTTAGCAGAAGCCTGTGGGTGAATGTGGCCTTAGGATGGAGAGGAATCCAACTGGGAGAGGGGGCAGGTGGCAGGGTGGCTCCCATTCTGGAGTCCACAGAGCAGGACACACAGCTCTAACTTATGTAACTCACCCATGACCATATGGTCTGGTCCTGTCTGAGCCCTGCCTTCCTGCTCCCCCTCTCCCCCAGGGCCTCCAGCCCCCCGACATCTCCATGCCCAGGCCCTCTCAGACTCTGAGATCAAGCTAACGTGGCAGCAGCCAGAAGCTCCATCTGGGCCTATATCCAAGTACATTGTGGAGGTGCAGGTGGCTGGGGGTTCAGGAGACCCACTGTGGATGGACGTGGACAGACCTGAGGAGACAAATACCATCGTCCGTGGCCTCAATGCCAGCACGCGCTACCTCTTTCGTGTGCGGGCCAGCGTTCAAGGTCTTGGTGACTGGAGCAACATGGTAGAAGAGGCCACTCTAGGCAACGGTGAGAGGGAAGAGCCCACAGGACACCTGGGCCCTGGGGCTGGTCTCAGCATGCACTCCCTCCATCTCACTAGCTACCTTGGAGTTGGGGCCCTCCCAACAAGTGACACAAGCCCCCACCTTGCCCATTTCATGATCCTAGTACTTGGGTAATCACACTTGTCCTGTGACACCCCTGGCCCCACAGTACCTCCCCATGTCCTGTTACTGAGATCTGCAGACTTTCCCTCTGTGGAACTCTGTGGTGACCTCTGGGTTCCTTGACCTGGGAGTCCCCATCATCTGTCCTTCATTGTGTCCAGGGCTACAGAGCCAAGGCCCAGTCCAAGAGAGCCGGGCAGCAGAAGAGGGCCTGGATCAGCAGCTGGTCCTGGCTGTGGTGGGCTCCATCTCTGCCACCTGCCTCACCACCCTGGCTGCCCTCTTAGCCCTGGTGTGCATCCGCAGGAGCTGTGTGCGTCGGAGGCGCACCTTCACCTACCAGTCAGGATCGGTCAGTGAACCACACCCCTGGGTGCACAAGCGAGGTCCCCAGTGTGCATGCATCTCTGTCTGCATAAACACAAGTACTTGTACACCGTGTGCGTGTACATGTGTTTCTGTCACAAGTATAAGACTACATTGAACCACACTTAAGGGTACAAAATATAATCCTTTTCTATTTCTCTAGAACTGAATTCAGCTCATGAGCCCAATTCTACTAGAGGGAAATATTTAGTATTCCTAGTTCAAAAGAATTCAGTTTTGTCCATATTTCACCAGGGCCAATTCCAGGCTTGAATGGGGTCAGTTTGAGATTATCTTGCCCAATCTTTGCCTTCTTCCTGGGGTTGCTCTTGGCACCTGGAGTCCATATTAGCCTTTGTCCTTGCAGGCCCTCCCAACTTGGGAGCCAGCCTCCATCTGCACACATCTGTGACTGATGTCCTCAGCACTACTGTGGCTTCTTGCCAACAGGCCACTCAGGCTGTGAGCTCCTCTTGTCAGCCTCCATCCTTTCGAATTCTTGCTTTGCCTGTACCCTGCAGAGGGCAGCATGTTCTGTGGCTCAACCCCTCTAGAATTGAGTCTGGCCTGCAATCTCACTCGCACCCCTTGAGAAGAGAAGTAGTCACCTCCACTCTTCCAGGCTTCCCTGCAAACCTGCCTGGATTCTCAGTCCTCCTATATTCTACATCCCTCTGGCCTCAGAGCTAACATTTAGATGGGATGGGGGAGGGGTGCTGGCTCCTCTTCAGGGACCTGGCATCACCTCATTTTGTCACATCTGCCCATCCCACCAGTCATGTTTCTTCTGAGACTCTCCCCACTGTTGTCACTTAGGATTTGAGGGCCCTTGGCCCTCCAGGCCTGAGCACTTGATATCTAGAGCCAAGCTTTAGTATTTAAAACAAAACAAAACAACAAAAAGCACACAACCCCTTTTTATCTCTCAAGGGCTGACTCTTGTAATAGAAAGTCCAGTGTCCAAGTCTAGTGTCTACTATGCCTTTAAAAAATTCCATCCAGGGATTCAATTGGTGTCTTTGTCTGGGCTCTCCCTCTGAGGTCAGGGCACACAGCCAGCCATCTCTGCCTAGTGAGGGAGGGTGTTGGGCACAGATGCAGAGA